TGCTGCCTTGCACTTGCTTCTGTATTTGTTCCCAGACTGCCAAGTGGTGGGTTACCTTTGGGAGGGCTTTACCAAGGGTCTTCACATACCAGCCATAGGTGAGTGCAGGTATTGGAAGTGTCAAGCCATAAAGTGGTTCAAGAGCTACCCAAAATTGCCACAGCAAAAATAAACAAGGAGCCAGTGGCCAACTGGATTGTGGGCCCCTTCTCTCAACCAGACCTTCAGGTGTCTCCCTAGCTACGGTGCCCAAGAAGGTACCAGGGGAATTCAGGTTAATACACAACCAAGGTTAATACACCACGAGGTTCTGGCAAAAGAAGTGGACTATAGGATAACTGGACCACAAAAGAAGCCCACTGAACAAGAATCATTCAGAACAAGTGATATGTTAAGCCTAGATCCCTTTAAAAGCTTCTTAGGCCAACAGGGATACCTGGATGCATGTTCCAGATGTACATCACTCCCAGGCCCTGGCTATGCCTATTTGGCCAGAACCAGGTCAGATGCCTAGCAACTTCATTGTAAACAAAACTGTGACCAGCAGGTTTGCCAATTCTTGCATTAAGACAATGGCTGAGCTTTTATATGCTCTGATGCACAAAGGAAATCTGTAACCTCTGTGCCTCCACCCTCTTCTTCTCCAACCAACCTTGGCGAGGACGACTAATTTTGCGCCACAGCTGGGGTATGTGGAAGAAGACTGGTGGAGGTACAGCAGCTTCAGCATTACCCAAAGTCCAGTGTATTAAAAAAGTTTCTCATCTTGGGCAAACGCTTAGCAACTCTAGCCATTTAATATATCCATAAAATTGATCCAATGTTTAAGTTAAATATAAGTCAAATATAGATAAACTAAATATAGATTCAAAGTGCAAAACTATACACATGCACTCAAAAGTAAGTACAGTGGGCTTTACTTCCAGGTAAAATGGATATAAGATTGCAGCCTAATGGGTTTTCATTACAACACCATTAAATAGGATGCAGTTTATACTGAATCATTTTCATTGCTTAATCCTGGCACCACAGGGGCAGCAACCACCACCTTGTATATATAATTTGATTTGTTGAGAACTAGTGTCAACCTATATCAAAGACTATCCCAATAAATAGTCTTTGAAGAAGTATCTGAAGAAGTGTGCATGCACACGAAAGCTCATACCAAGAACTAACTTAGTTGGTCTTTAAGGTGCTACTGGAAGGAATTTTTTTGTTTTATCCCAATAAAAATTCTCATTGGAAGAAAATTGCTTATAAACTCTATTAATGAGACATAATGTTCAATTGTTTCCTTTCTTAAGGCAGCAGAAAACAGAGCCAAACGTTATAAGCACTTTTCCAGGAACACAATTTTAAAATACATTTAAGTAATCAGGGGTATGATCAGAGGAGATATAGATATTTAGGTGGTCTTGGTTTGCTTCTCTTCCCAAAAAATCGACTGTAAGCATTACATTGGATACCTACTGTTAGTTCTTAAATTACTGCAATAATGTAATGAGTGAGCTTTTGAATTACTCAGAACTCTTCTTCAAGGTGGATATTCAGTAATGTCAACCAGCCAAAGATCGAGAAGAGAAGAGAAAAAATATGTTTCATGACATATGCCCATGACACACATTTTCCCTTTTCTTGTCTTTAATGAACATTTAAGCCTGAAGACAGAGTTCTAGTGAACCCAAATGCTTATTCCCTAATTTGTGATGTTTTAGCTGTTCCTTATGGTAGATGTGCAAAAAAATAGAAATAAATCTTGGATGCCAAAAAATAGGATGGGTTCTTTATTTATACAGTACATCCTATTAGATTCTGTCCAAGACAATAAAAGACTTGACTCTCTATGCAAATCTAAGTCAAAGTTATGTAACATTTAATACTGTAAGTAGGCCTTATCAAACATGCCTTCAAAGTTCAGGGAAATGTTTTTCTAGCTAGGGAATATCTACATTTGCATGCAAAACCAGCTGATACAGGGGTAATCTGTTGCTTTTCTCATTTCTCCTCAACTCAACAGCTCCCTACTGTAGTGCAGTCTAAGAAGAGAAAACATAATATGATCTACAAATTGTATGCAGAAAAAGGAAAAATGAAGATTAATCTTAAGTTTTTACTTCCAGTGTTATGCTTGCTAGTTTATTAGCGGTGTACAGATGCAAGATGCAGGGTGCAAGATGCAGGATGCAAGATATAGAATCAATCTAGAGTGAAAACATTATGAGGACAATTATGAATGATTTCGGATTGGAAAAAAACATATTTTTTTTGCTACAAACAGGAGATTGTGTATGCAGCCTTGGTCTTTTAAAGCATTCTGTAAATAAATGTATAACCTGCAACTACAAAAAAATTTTATATCACCAAAGAAGCAGGTTTAATGTAAACAGGCTCGTGCGAAAAATGTGTTATTTATGTGGCAACAAGTTTTCTTTTCTTTTCGCTGAAACAGGCTGCACCAACGGAAACATTAAGTTCCTCATATTTAAAAAGCAGTACAATTAGAGAACATAAAAGATAGCATGTGCCCTCTATAGGAGGAAACCGGGATTTATTCATTCAACAATGGTCATATCTAACACACTTAGGTAACTTTGTGCTTCTAGTGGTTGGCAAAAAAAATGCTAGCTAGAACACATTTCCCTCCATCTAGCCTGGATTACCCCTTCCAGGAAAAAAAGGATTACTTTTTTTAGTACAGTAACCCATTTGTGCTATCTCACGACCAGTTTTACAATGTTAGGTAAGCTAAAAGGTCAAGAACCCCTGGATGGTTAAGTTCAGTCAAAGGTGACTATGGGGTTGTGGCGCTCATCTCACTTTCAGGCCAAGGGAGCTGCCTTTGTCCACAGACAGCTTTCTGGGTCATGTGACCAGCATGACTAAACTGCTTCTGGCACAACAGAACACCGTGACGGAAACCAGAGTACATGGAAACGCCATTTACCTTCCTGCCACAGTGGTACCTATTTATCTACTTGCACTGACATGCTTTCGAATTGCTAGGCTGGCAGGAGCTGGGACAGAACAATGGGAGCTCATTCCGTTGCGGGGATTTGAACTGCCGACCTTCCAATTGGCAAGCCTTATCTGGAAGCACCCTAAATAAGTTGTGAAGTCTGTATATCAAGTTATAAATATCTGGGAACAACTTTTTACAAAACTATTAAGAGGCACTGGTTTCAATTTTGTCCCAATCTTTTAAAAATATACTTTTATTGTGCTTTCTTATATATTTTTTTAGTTTCTTTTAAATGAAATAAACTCAGC